CTCTAACTGATGGAGAAAGTGGGGGGGAAGGAAAGCACTGCACAGTTATGAGAACTGGAAAGGGTATTTTTTTTTTATTGAATTATTTACATTTGAGAAAGAAGGGCCACTATAAACTAGCACAGCACAGAATACCTTTCCATATTATATAGAGCTGTTAAAGGGAAATGTTTCAGCACTGTTTAAATATTATCTAATTTCCAATAAAAAACCGACAAAATCGATGCAGCCTTGGGACAAGTTTATATTCCACTGGGCAGCAGTTTTTATAGGAGAGCTGGTCTGTCAGCAGAAGCTCGGCCAGCTCTGCTCATGCAATTGCATCTGCAAAAGTTTTTTGGGGGGTGTGTGTGTGTGCAAAGCATGGCCACCCCCTCTCCCCCCCCGACAGAGACATGTGTCCAACGTGAGTGTCTTCATGGGTGTCAGTCCTGCAGACTGACCCCCTTGCTCAGCCACATAACTGGGCAGCGCTGTCAACAGCAGCTGCAGGGGCAGCTTCTTTTGCTTTTTTCATTTCCCTGTGACATCCTGCTGGAGAAGATGGGAAGGGGCACTGGCACCGTCTCCTGAAAGAGAAGGCCTGTGTACCCGAAGGCTTCGCCAACCTAAGGCGGGTCAGGACAAAAGGAAATGGGGCCAGAGTTCTCTGTGGACTGGGCAGTTTTAGACTCCCTTTTCTACCAGAATGACAGGTTCAGTTGTTTCCGTTTAAGAGTTGATACATTTAGCATGCTGTGCGTACACTGGCAGTTTGGGAGGGGGGGGGGGGGGGGGGGGAAGTGCTGGAAATATAAATGTGGGGACATCTGGGTGGCAGGTTGGCTGTTTGCAAGGTGGCACCTGGCTCCAAGAGAGGAGATTAAACCTCCCACCCTACTCTCATCGCCCAGGAGAGCCTCCCTCATGCCCACGTCCCTCCAAGGTAGGCTGGGGCAGCTGGTGGTTTATCTCATGGCATGGTGGCCTCACCATCCTGCCTGCCCACCTCTGGGTCCCCTGGCTGCAGGCACAGCATCCTCGCCTCCCCACAACCACGGGGCGCT